TTTAATCAAATTTGTTTACGGTAATTTTTATAGTACCCAAACATCGAGCATCCTTTCGTAAACTGTTCTTTTTAAATGATTTCAAACTATCATGTGGTTTCGTGTATTTGCTATTTCTGTACAGTTTCTGTGAAGAGGCTATCTCAGGCTTGCTCCACCAGTTACAAAATTTCATGGAATTTTTTATTAGCGATCGACATATGCGAGATGTTTCTTCGATATAAAAATTACAGGAACGGAATTGATCATACCACTTCTGGGTTCAGCATTCACTTATAGCATCCACACTGTAAACCTTATTAATTTTTTTGGCATGTTTCTGCAGTAGTTTCGATTTTTTGTAGTTAAAAAATATATCATATCGCATTTCTTTATTCTTTATTCTTTATTTTTGAAAAAATGTACATTTGCGATGAATTACACAACTGCCTTCACAGAAGATGTAGCCTGAAATGTTGTCTTTTAAACCATTGTTGTTTTTTACACCGTTAAAATAATTAAATTAGTGTGGCCAGATAGGTATATATAGGTAAGTATATAGGTAGGTATATAGGTAACAACCCCGTATAGAAATAAAAACAGATAGCTTTTATATTACCTAATGTTTATTTAACATAATCGAATTAGGGTGGTTATATAGATATATGGGTGCCAACACTATCTAGTGATAACAATTTAATACTTTTCATGATTCCTAATAGCTGTCTTTATTATTATTGTTAAGAGATGTGACACTGCAACCGTCGGGTCTATTGTTCCCCCTTCTGGGTTTAGAGAAGGTATCTAAGCCCAGTTGTGTCAGTAAAAAGTAGTATTGAACCTACTTTACAGAGTTTTATTCCTTATTGCCAGGCCATTCTAACAGTACATATGTGGCCGACTCCTCATTTCTTTGCGGAATCTACAATTTTGTTGTAGTTTATATTGTCCTGTTAGAATTCCTGTGATGATTCTAAGTTTTTCTTTTGATAAGTTCATACACTGGTATCTCTAACTGTTATAGCTGTCATTACTACCATCCATTTTCAAAAGAAGGTGCTCGGGAAATCGGCATTTGTGTCACTTAAATTTTATTTAATTTACATAAACCTTGCTTAAAAGTTTATAGCAAAATTATTGGTTTCAATAGTTCATAAGACAATAAGACTATATCAATTTTATTGATAATAATTAGGTTAAGTTAATTAAGTAAGTCTGTCTTAATAAGCAAAAGAAATTTGGTTAGTTGTGCCATTAGAAATAACAGAAAAATTTTCTAAAAGTAATTAATTTGAAGTCATTAAATTGTAGTTTTATTTATGCAATTATTTTTAGTAATTTTTCTTTTTATTAACATCTTCTCATTAAACTTCCACTTAAAATGTTGCATTAGAAATTATGTGCTCATTTTATTTTTAATGCAAATTCTATGGTCATCATCTTTATGGATTTGCATAATAAATAGCACCAATGCATGTCTAAAGGCTTAACTCCGAAGGTTTAATTTTAATTTCAATACCGTGACTATGATAGAATTTCTAACGGTCAAAGTCGTGAAGAAGATGTAAAAGAAGTTTAAATGAATCACAATTTCATTAATTTTTAATCTTCAGTGGTGAAATTGCATTTACTTTTAACTAAGGAAACTTAATTGTAAAAGTTAAGCGTTCACCATGGACGTCATTAACAATGTTGTGATTGTTGCATTTTATTGGATATATTTATTGGATAACACGAAAAATATAAATTTATGTTGTTAAGTGTTTATGTTGATAATAAATTTAGTCAAATTAATTTTAAAAGAACAAATCAAATGATTTTCATAAAATTAGTGAATTAATAGGTGTGTTTTAAACACGTTTTCTTTGCGAAATTAAATTCATTAATCAAAGTATGTGGGTATCTAATTTTATAATTAGAATTAATGGAAAAAAATAAACAAAATAAATAAATAATACTAATATTACTATTATTACTAATATTACTAATATTAGTAATATTATTATTACTAATGTTACGTAGAATAAAAAAAAAACCCTGGGCGCTTGTACAAGGCCTCGTAAAGTGTGGAGCTCTAATACTTATAGTCTACGCACAAAGATAAAAATCTTTAAAGCATGCGTTCTTTCAGTTCTTCTGTATGGTTGCGAAACTTGGTTTGCCAGGAAAAATATACAAAACAAGCTGAGAGTATTCGTCAACTGTTATCTCAGCAGAATTTTGCGTATTTTCTAAACAGAATAACAAAAAGACCTTTGACCTCCAACCGATATTTGTCAACAGAAGTTGGTATACAACCCGCAAGGTAGCAGAGGATGAGGTCATCCAAAAACAACATCGAAAAGGTCAACGTTAAATGAAATAAATACCGTTTTGCAGCCCCTAGGAAAAGAATAAGCAACATTACTGATATAAAGGATGTAGCGTTGCGGCGCGAAAGATGAAAGCGACTTATAGACAGCCTATGCCTAGTATAAGAGGCTGCTCGAAATCATTGACATTGAGCAAAGCTTATTATTATTATAATTAATGTTACTATTATATTACTTAGTATTTGTCACAGTATAATAATTATTTTTTAAATCAATATAATATTGATTTGAATATAAATGATCCGAGAATTTAATTTTGCATAGTTATCAATGATAAGCCTACATTGGCTTTTGCTAACCCTTTTAGTTATTTAAAAAACAAGGGAACATATTTTCATGTCAATTTCCTTTTTTAGTGTATTTTCCTTTAGCCATTACTAGATAAATATAAGAAGGTAATACTTCTCAGTGAGTCTCTGCATTAAAGGTTGCTTACTAAAAACTAATCCAAAGTTCATACTAAAGTATTTAATTGCAAAAAAATCGCATGAACTTAGTGTTAAATAGTTCGAAAGGCCTATGGCACATTTGGCTAATTTTCAAGCATTAATTTTGGTGGATTAATTTTTGAAGGTTGCCGCACTTGATTAATATTCTGCGGATTGCAAATTCGTAGACATGAATTCTGCATGATTTTGTGTGTGTGAGTGTATGTTTGTAGAGAAGCAATAGATATATTTTGAGCAGTGATTTAATATTCATTTTGGTATTCACAAATTACATATAACTATTATCCTTTCGCCGTTCACTGTTACGTTCTGACATTAAGTATGAAACACACGTGTAAATGTTAAATAGAAAATATCAAAAAATATCAAAGGAAATATATTGTATATGAATTAATTTCCACAATACTCTTTTTTTACTTTCAATACCTTCAAAGCATATTACAAGTATCAAAGCATAAGGAAAATGTCAATCCACTAAATGTAGCGAACTGTGCGAAAACTGTTATAAAAAATAATTTTAATACTCTATTTTACTTAAGTGTGTTAGACAGATTAAAAGGCATTTAAAATTTGAATCTGCCTCCCTTTTGTTTACGTCACTGTTACCTCTATATTTCGTAATTATTACACAGCTAATTCATTTATATATTCTTATTTCATAATAGTCAAAAATATAATTATTTTAACCAAATAAATAAATATTTGTTTTCATTATTTTTATGGCAATACACTAACTTAGCCAAAAATGTATACTTCGCTTAACGGTTATGTATTAAGCGCTAGGAAAGACTTACTTATGAGGCATACCACGGTAAGCCACGCCATGGCCGTTACTTACTTAAGTGCATTCAGTGGCTTTATTGGCAGTTGCCGCATTTTATTTAAATCCAAACAAGACGTGATATGACGTTGGAATTAAAGTTAAGAATTTTAACTGTTTTTCGGTGTTATTGATTTTTTTTCAGGGTTTTAGCTATCTTAAGCATGTTAACTATTCTATTCATTTAAGGTTTCCCGAATTGATTGTTACTTATTTAACTTTTGGCATAAATTATTGGCTCATGCATTGCGTTGGTGTCCAATACAAGCCGTTTTCTTACGTTCACACTATGTGGTCATGTCGTTGCCAGTAACGATTTTTATGTACTGATTTAGGTCAGATTTTTTCTTGCAATTTTATTTCTGTACGTTAGTTTTACAATACTTTTATTGTTTTGCCAACGACTGGACTACGGTTTTAGGTTTCACAATGTATGTGCGATTTTAAAAGTTAGCGGCCAGTAAAACTCGTATTTCTGATTTCGTTATTTCAGGTTAAAGTTTAGGTTACGCTGTAGGCGGTATTTAAAATAGGATACTTCGTTTGTTTGTTGTCAGCGTGTGGCTATGTACTGCCCAACACTGGAATGGATTAGAAATTGGGTGTTGAGCGTATTAAGGTTAATACAAATTATGAAAATAAATCTCTGGATATGTGGTCATAAATTACTAAAATCTAAAAATAAAGTGTAAAATAATAAGTATTTCTAGAAACTTAATATATTTTTAATAGCAAAATAAAAAAATATTTAGTTTTATAATTATTCGCACATTTTTATTATATTATGCCCCGTAGCTATTTTTTAATACGTATAAGTAAATATTTTAAGCAGCTTTAAAAATATTTTGTGAAATTTTTTAACATAGCAAATAAATCCCTAACTGCTGAAGGCGCTTAACATTTGATAATAAAATAAAAATCTGCTAGCTTTTGGATTTGTGTCCAGTTGATTGCAGCTTTCGGATGTGGTACCAGTAAACGTCGTACTCAATTCACTCATATAAGTAAGCGTAGATACGTCTTGCTAACTCATGTCTCAATTGTTGACGTTGTGGGTAGAAACCGGACTTTAATGCTAATGCAGAAAATATACTGTAAATGCTGATCTTTGATATGATAATTTTATATTACTATCAAATATTTAAGTTGAATATCTTTTTTAAGACTTTTTATGACATTTTTACATGAAAGAAAATTTTTATCTATTTTATTAATAATTGTGAATCAATTGGAAAGAAAATATATGCAGTTAATGTAGTAATAGATGGATCGTTGAGGCTTAAAAATATATATAATTATTAATAATAATTATTATAATCGCTACATAAAATAAAAATGATGTAATAAAATTATATAAAAATTTTAATTTTTTTTTTACAGATAAAATGAAGTCATACACACATATACTGTACACAGCGCTGCATATATTTGTAAGTATTTTTATGTATCTTTCACTAATGACAAAATAATTAATAAAAACATTCCCGAAGAAATTTATGCAATACAATCTTTAAAGTGAGAAGAGAGTAGATGGAATAAATGAAATGTTAATTAGTCTCAAGTAATTAAGCAAGCGTAGTTGATTTTATTGACATAAAAAATCAAGTACCGAAGTTTAAAATAATATATAAACTAAAAATTGAAAAAAGCTTAACACAGACTTTTATTATTTAAATTTATAAACTAAAGACTTATTAGCAAGAAATTAAATTTAGAATTAATTAATCTATTAAATGCTGAAAACAAGATGTAAATATATTTAAGTAGTTAATAAAATCCTTCTTTTCGACTTTAACGGTTAATGTTGCATTATAAAATGTGAAAGGGCCGAACAGATATCTGAAATAGTTTTTTTCAAAGCAATAAAGTTTACATTACATACAATTTAATTAATTAATAATATAAACTAGCTAATAGTGTTTTAAGGTACATGTTGATTTAAGCCCCTGATATTGGATATTTTAAAACTTTTATTATTGTTGAAACTACAAAATAGTCAAAACACTCATTATAGCCGTTTAGGTACAACATTTCCTTATAACAACTGTTTTCTATATAATTTTATTGATTAATAGTTTAATTAAAAACGTATAACATATATCTTAGCTCAATAGAGGAAAACCGTATATATTGTATATAAATATTTTAGTTACATCATATGCTGACTGCAAATCTTAAACTTTATTATTGTTAGAGGATGTGGCAATGCGACCGTCGGGTCTATTATGTCCCCTTTTAAGTTTATAATATCAAAAAAAATTTATTTTTATTTAACTAAGACTATTCCTAATAAAAACAGCTAATAAACCCCATATACTTCGATTATTGAAATAAAAATACTATAATTTAAGTTACTGGTTAGTAACGTGTAATAACAGTTTATTACTCGCAGAAAGAACTACTCGTACAACATAGGTATTGTGGTACTCATAACTAGGTAAAATAGTAGCTAACTATTGTGGTAAAGTACATCAAATTGTAGTTAATTATGAAAGGAAATTGATAATTAAAAATTTTTAAGTTTGTTTTATTTATTTATTATAAACTAAAAATAAATAAAATAATAAATACATCACCTTAACTTTACCACTCTGAAGTGAAGCGTTTAATACAATTAAATGCACTAGATATTAACTTCCCTACACAGAAAGTAATTCTTTATAAAATGTACTACCTAAGGCAAGCTATGAGACTGGGTCCACCCTGCAATAACTTTTGTGGAAGTTATGGCTCTGAGGATGAGGAGGAGACCATGCTCCTTCTCATATGTCACTATAAATTTCCCGATTCACTATAAATTGTACTATCTAAGATATGCTATGAGACTGGGTCTACCCTACAATAACTTTTGTGGAGGTTATGGCTCTGAGGATGAGGAGGAAACCATGCTCCTTCTCATATGTCACTACAAATTTCCCGATTCACTATAAATTGTACTACCTAAGACATGCTATGAGACTGGGTCTACCCTACAATAACTTTTGTGGAGGTTATGGCTCTGAGAATGAGGAGGAGACCATGCTCCATCTCATGTGTCAATGTCCTTCCTTAGCTAGAAGAAGATTAAAATCTTAGGATCCCCTTTTCTCAACGATCTGACTGAGCTGTCATCCTGTAATGTTAGGAACCTGGCGAAGTTTACAGAACTGACATGTTGGTTTTCTTTTACCTAATGGAGGAGTTGTTAACTTTTTCGGCGTTGGCTGTATACTGATTTAAATCTATGTACGTACCAATGCTACTCCTGTGGTGCCACAATAGGTCAATCTTTGCGTTCAAGTGGGCTTTGTTTGGAAACAAGGCTTGAATTAAAAAACTATGGATAGAGTTAAGTATGTATTATAGCGTCTTTTTCTATTAGTATCTATTATCCAAGTATAATGTTGTAAATTAGTCTACTGAAATAAGATTAATACTATCTTAATTAATAATTTTTAAAATAGAAACGAAATATAAGAATTTTTCGTGAATTCAAATAAATGTAAAAAAAATCTGAAAGCCAATTTTTACACTCATCTTTGTTTTTTAAGCAACAATTTGTTGATACTAATAGAGATTTTTTATTGAGCACGTATATAAAATCTAAACTTGTATAAAATTTTATGAAGAATGAAGTATCATAAAATTGATGATAGAAGAGACGTTCTACTTTTTGCATATATTAACCAATTTGCAAAGTTTTCACAAGAGCCGACGTCATCGGGTTTATTCTAATTTTATTTAATTTCTTAAAGCAACGTTTCTTCATTTTTGCATCCATTATCTATTATTATTGTGATTTTTGGTGAAAGTTTTTGCATACGTCGTGAGTATCTAATTTTCTTGATTAAGGTCTGTAACTTTTTTCATTCATTTTGGATATAAAAATTTTGTAAGAATGTATCTAAAAATGAATGACTAAATTTAAGAAATCGATTTCATAAATTTATTTTGACAATAATGAGTGATTGTCAAAAGGTTATGATGTAGTTGAAAGACAATAAAGGATGGAATTTGAGTAAACTTTACTAAATAAGTTATTAAAGTTTTAATAAAATATTTTTAATAACTTATTTTTATTTATTATAAAAAAAAATTAGTAAAATATAAAATTAATATTAGCATATAAAAAAGTAGTATAAATTTTTACTGCATTATATTAGCTTATTTATTATATAGTTATAGTAAAGCTTTGGCTCATACAGAGACTGATTCAAGGAGTAGTTAATTAAAATAAATTATAAGTTCACATGAGAACAGTTCATTGAAAAAAATCCATTGTGTGGTGTTAAACGATAGTAAATTTTTGTTGGTGGGGGGCGGGGAAGGAGAACTTTTAATTATGAATATTTATATAACTTATAATATTACACTTGTAAGATATTTTATATGAACGTTAAATTGATTTTGTCTGAATATTCTCAATTGAATTAAATTAAATTAAATTATAAAAAATTAATTAAAACAAAAAAAATTAATTAAAAAATTAAAATATAAATTTTATTAATTTTGTTTTATATTTTTTAGACAATTGCCACACTAACAACACACGGTGCACAAATCTCAACAAGTAAGTAAAAATTTGAAATATATTTGCTTATTGTATATAGTATCTAAGTTTAAATTATTCAAATTTAATAAATTTGTTTTTAGAAAAAAAGTTAAATTTACAGTATTAAGGATGAAAAATTGGTTCCAATAAATTAATCGTTTATTAAGAAGTTTTAATTTTTTATAACCTTTTCGATTGTTTAAGACTGTATTTATAATATGGCATTTAAAATTTGCTTCTAAGACTATAACAGTTCTTGATTAGTTTAGATAGATTAATTACAAAAAGAACTTCTTATTCTAGAGTTTGTTTTGTGTTTTTGACCAAATTTTAAATTAAAGAAGAGCTTTTTTCTGTTTTTTATTTTATCAAACTACCATCTGTAGTATTCATCATGACAGTCTCCAAAATCAAATTACTTTTGTTCTTTTGGGACTTAATCATTCGATTTAGAAAGTTGTGTACTAGTTTGATTGCTGGAGACAATACAGTCACTGAACAGTTGTTTAATAATTCATTGAGTTCTCTAATAATACTGAATGTAATAAAGTTTCGTTAAAGCCTAAAATTATCCAGGGCATTTTTTTGATAACAGTGTTACTAAGACAATTGTTTTTTTATTGTGGTAAGAAGATGGAATACTTTATGCCCCGTCAAATCGATCGTGTCTGACTGCCTAACAGGATACGAACTAAAATACTACTTTTCACATTCACATTTTTTCGGTCAGGGTCTTCTTTGTATTGTAAGGTGGTGGAGTGCTTTATGCACAGTCACACCGATTGTCTTCCGAATAATGTGCTCTACTGCCTAACATATTAATATATAGTATACGAACTAATACACCAAATTTCAGAGAGACTTATTCCCTTACGGGATCACATTCACATTACATCGGTGAGGGTCTTTCTTTGTATTGCGGCTGCAAGCCATACTGTTTTGATTTTCGATCTGCATCCAGATCTCTACTTTCTCACTACATTTTTTTGGTGTTTGCCCTACTTATTACCCTAATTTCTGCTTTTTCTTCTAGGTCTAATTTCTTTGATTTGAGGACTTAAATCGCATTTGACACTATCGTTAGCCAATTCTCTGAGTTGGTTGTTTTCTTTTCCACTGTAATTTTACAGTATTTATTGATCTAATCTTTTCTTTAAATGTGTACCTCCTATTACAGTAAGAGAAGGTGTGTTCTGGGTCATCACAGTCTCCGTCGCCAGAAATGCAGGCGGGTAGGTCCACATTTTCTATGCGGTACAGCTACTTGCAATATTTATCCCCGGTATGCATCTGACTGAGGTGGCCCAGTCAGATGGTTTTCAATACTTCCCTTAACTACGATTTTGTAACTAAATATATAGCTTAGAAAGTAGAGTAAAACTTAAGAGAAAAAAAACATTAGTGAATAAAAAGATGTCTTTAGTTAATAGATTAATTATTAGTGTCGCTATGTTCAAAAAGGTACCTTATAAAAGGAGAAATTCTGAATATAGATAAATTGGTAAAAATTTTTATTGATGTATGAGAGAGTATTATTTTACATTATTTAAAACTGAATGAAGAACTTTTGCATAAAGTTATTCACTCTTTTAAAAACCACTATTTTACAGATAATCATTTCTGTTCCATGGGAACTTTTTCTTGTTCAAGCCATGCAATGGACATAAATAAACAGATTTAAATGTATCTGTAATTAAATTCATCTAGTACCTATTCGATGAAAATTTCAAACATGAAGTCAGTTTATTTGCTGCATTAAATTTGTTGCCAATAAATCAGAATTAGTCAATAACTTGTTTTCAATAAAGCACGGCATAGATTGCACATGAAATCTGTTAAAAATATTATTATTTTAATTTCAGTTCGCTGAACAACTTCAATTCCCTGAGTGGTGAATGTTACTTTGAATGAAAGTGAATGGGCACTCTAAGGCACAATGTATCTATTTAAAGCCATACGTACGAGTACAATAACTAAAAATTGTAGCTGTGGAGTGATTAATAAAAAGCGTTGCAAATGTTTTGTTTCCTTTAAAGTTTTTATTAAAGTTGACCATTTTTAATTGCAATTATATTCCGCGAACTATTCACTTATAACATATAGTAAAAATTTTTTAAATGCTTTCACATGTTTAAATTGTTTGTTTTAAGCTTTCATGCCATTGTCACTCACGTATATAAACCCATTTTTTGTCGAATTGTCAAGATAAAAAATTGTAAAGAAAAGTAAAATATTTGTTTATGAAGTTGTGAAGTTGGCAATATGATTTTATTATTATTTCTTTTTCAAAAAAGAAATAAAAAAAAAAAATCTATTATTTGCAGAATTAGGGCAAACAAATTGTGATAATGTTGATAGATATTCGGAATTTGGGAAAGTAGTTAAGTGTCAAGGTCTCTTTTGCAAAAAACCAAAAATTTAAAAAGATTTTTGTGTCAAATTTTTGATGTATAAATAAAATAATTTAGTGCAAATATGACCAAGTTATGTACAAGAAAAAAAATTGAAATAATAGTTTAAAAAAGATAATAATAAAATAACAAAAAAATTAAATAAATAAAATTATAATAAAATAAAAAATACAAATGAAGTTCCAAGCCTCTTAGTTGCATTGGCTCATTAGTAACAGATCCTCCCTATGCCTAGAGTATAAAGTACTCTTGTATAACAGCATCATAAAACCAATATAGACTTATGGTATCCAGCTATTCGGTAATGTTAGTGTTTCAAATATTGAAATTATTCAAAATACTCCGAGATCTAAAAATTCCCTTAGTTAAAGGCTCTGAGAAGACTTTTCAAAGTACTATGGTACATTAGTACGAATGACATCCTCAGGGACCTCAAGATTGATCCCATCAAATAATACATAAAGGATAGAGCCCTGATATTATTTGCAAAAACTGATGACTTACCAATACCGCGCTACAAATTTCAGAATGGTTACAGGCTCCTCGGGGAGATGGGCAGATCTAAGGTCAATTATTGCTTAGTCTGATGAAGTGATAAACAATAATCCAGTCAAGGCGTAAAGAGGGGTTTTAAAAATACTTCGAGTTAAGAAAGGAGTAAAAGTGCTTAAGTGCACTGGTTCAACATAATAATAAAGCCGAATTTGACAATATAATATAATATTAACCCCTTTCAATCCACTACTTCCCGCCTAAAAAAAGGTGAGCGTCCAGCCATTAATTAAAATTTAAGAGATTCAAGTTAATACCTCTCTCTTATTTTCAGTAATCTCATAAATTTTAATTGATTTCTTAATAATCCATCTCACACTCATTTCAATAAAATTCAATCCACCAATCTGAGGTCCGTAATATACTGATTTACTTATTTCATTTTATATTATGCAATGTATAGTTAAAAATTGTAATATTATGTATTGCATTATTGTTATTATGTATTGTTAGTCTCATTGTAAGAGATATGCAATAAAAAAATGTATTTTTAAAAACAAAAATAAAAAAAAAGATAAAATAAAATAAAATAATTATAAAAATATATAAATAAAATAAATAAATATGAATATAAAAATATGTAAGATTTAGTATCGCCTAATCCATATTTGACAGTTTATAAGAGGTAGTGATCACTATCGTATATGTAGGTATATCATCTTAGACAAGGACATAGAGTAGTTATTCGCTGCCAAAAAATAATTAAGTTCGTTTTTTATTCAAATACAAGGCCTCATACTAGAAACATCAGTGCAAAATGTCTATTCTTCTAGAATTCTATTTACTATTACGCAAATTTCATTATCAATGGGCATATTCATACTCAATGAGAAACAGTGAATGACATCGGCTTATATATGACACATTATAAAGAGAAAGTAATCACACTCTCAACTTAATTTGTGAATCTCTTGAAATACCAATTAATCACCTAAAGGTCAAAGTTGATACTATTACTTCTATGAATATTATCATATAGTCGTTGAAAGGAAAGGCTTTTCCTTTTACTTCTCCGTCATCCACTGAAAGTTGAAGTTTCTAGTTCTATTAATTTTATCATTTACATATTTGTAGACGGTATTTACACATCATGCCCTTGCCGTTGCCTAAAAGTAAAAATTTACCAAAAAAATTCTGATGAAACCATAATGGAAAATAGGAATTGATCTCTAAACAGTAAAATAGTTCGATTGTGGGGCGATTATCACAATAATGGGAACACAAAACAAAAACGTTCAGTATATGTTTAATTATTAGAATCCAGTTTGGAAGACTGGAGTTAAATATGGTCAAGACCAATTTTACAATGCAGACTTAAGTGACGATTTAATACTATAGTAAATGACACTTTAGTATTTAATGTCAAAAACTTGATGGTACTTAACTTAACTCTAATGGGCATTTTAAAACTGGCCCATTTTAGCCTATTAAGAAAGGATAGTTGCAGAAGTAGTTTTAGGGTTTGCTCTAAATATGTTTAATCAGCACCTATTAAAAATGCTATAAGTTGAGAAATAAAATGTTTTCTTATCTATCTTAGATAAAAAACTCAGATAGTGTTTGCAGATATAAACACTATCTGAAAAGTTGTTTATCAAAGTTGTTGTCTTATGAACTATAAAATTTTTATATTGGATGTACATATGTATAGAAATAAATATCATGTATTAGAGTCTAATTATATTGACTGCAATATATTAAAATCTATTTAAGTCAAATAAACTTACTTTGATATGAGTTTAAGAAATATTTCCATAAATAACATTGTGTGTCTTAACTTCAAAAATTGTCATTTTATCACATGTCTTCAATTGCAATTCATATTTAAAAAAGATACTTAAGATATAATCTGTTGCAAAAACTTTTTAAGCTGAATTATTACAATATCATATAAAAGGGATTAGAAACTTTATCACTAACTACGTATTGCAAAAAAGAATAGAATTTATTGTTATATTTTATTTCTTGCATAAAGATTAATGATTGCCGTTATAAGATATTTTTTTTGAAAATGGTATAGATAGTGTACTTGGAATAAGAGATAGAATACAAAAAAAATAAAAATTTGCAGTTAGTTGACTGAATTCATACATAATTTATTTATATATATAATAAAAAGCGATATAATAATAAATTATACTATTGAGGACAAAGGTTTATTTGCTGGTCGTTAAGTGTGTTCTGCATCAGTTGCAACATCTGTATCTTTTGTTGTGACTTGCTTCTTTGATTCCAGCTGCATTTTCTGCTCTTAAGATGTTGTTTAGGAAGAGAACAATGTAAAAAAGTGGTTTGCTTATGTTGTTGCAGTTGTAAAACTTAAAGATCTTGAGCATCTAAGTGCTTCAGTAACTTAGCTGGAATGGGAAGGCAATGCACTTTGCTGCAAAATATTAAAGGGTTCATTGCTCTGGGTTTGACTTTGAAGTACCTAAGTTAAGTTCATAGTTACGAATGTGTGAAGGTGTAAGTACACAAAAAAAAATAAAAGTTTATTAGTGAAATAATGTTCTTCCTTATTGTTTGTTTTAACTGAAAAACTTTTTTAATTGAATTTTACATTTCTGATTAAATTTAATGAGTTGATGAAATAAGTATTTGATGTTTTGCTTAAAGCTCCACTACAATTTATTTAAGCAACATATACATAAAAACTGATATTGAAAAATAAACACTAAATGATTAAAATTGGTCTCATTTCTACTTTTTATAGGTTCTTTTATATACCATACATAACCTAATTTATTTAGGATATCACATGTCTTTCTTAGTATATATCTTCAACGAGATATTGTTCAATTAAGGAAAATTAAACAATTAAATTGTTCTATAATATTTGTAAATGTTTAAAGTTAATATATCAAGTATCTACGTCAGAGCATAGCATATATAGTAAGTATAAAACTATGTAATACCTCCCTATTTATAGGTCTTTGTGTCAAAGGGTATCAAAATCTTAATTGCTATAATATATACCTAATACACAAGTAACCTTACGAATTATTATTTAGACCAAAATATTAATATTTAATTAATGCATTATTCATTATTCAGGAAATTAGAAAAAGTACGAGGATTACACCAAGATATAGGTATGTTTTAGGTAACCACTCAACAAAAATTTGTTACAAAAATAAAGTTATTACTAATGATTATCACATTTGCTCAAAGTCGATTAAAGTCAGCAAAACGTTAGTGATTAAGAGCAGACTTTATACATAACTCAGAGCAATAAGAATAGTTTCTATATACGATATGTAACTATGGATGAAACTTAGCTGCAACATTATGTTCCGGGAAATACGTAATTAGTTACTGCTTTACCAATGATAACTATCAAAGCAAAAATAAATTGTCAGAAAGGTCACGACATTTGGGGTTGCGAAAGAAACTAGTAACGGTTTATATATTTATTTAGATTAACACTTTGAAAAGCTTTATTTCCACATCCACACAAGTTAGGTTTCAAAAACCATAACTTTATGTTTTTTATATCGTCAATTTTTCACCATTGATGGCCTGTAAATTGACCATCAAATTGGGAGCAAATTCTAACATTTATTACTATGCAAAACTGTTTTGACCAATGTGATAAGGCACACAAAGCTCATCACCGGAACCAAATTTATATAAATATTTATCTCTTTTTTCTATTCTCAATTTTTTAAGTTATGTCGAAAACAACAGTAACTTCAAATTTAATTTGAAAGTGATCTGTATAACATGGCTCCAATTTAGCCATAACATGTCACTTATCTGGTAGTCTTAAGTTGTCAACTGTAATATTTTGAAATGTGTGATCAGGGTTACTATAGTGATAAAATTGTTATTGCCCACATAACTTCTGCTAGTTGTCCAGAAGTGACATTGTTGAGTTGATATTGTATATTTCAATTTATGATAACGGCTCTATATAATATAATGCTTGACCTACTCAATTGTTTCATTGAGTAGGAGATATAGTTTTAAACTGATTGGCTAGTAAAGCAATATAAAGTGTATATATGTTATATATATGAATATATATATGAATATATATATGAATATATATATGAATATATATATGAATATATATATGAATATATATATGAATATATATATAATAGATATATATGAATATATATAACATATATAACATTATATGAATATATATATTCCAAAATAAGAGGAAATCGAAATCAGTTATGAAAATTAGTTACAATTTCTAAAATAAAGTAGATACAACATATTATTTAACAGCAAATATTATAAAATTTTACATATGATGTGCACTAATTGTTAGATGATTACAATAACAAAGTGCATGCATAATGCACTTTTTGAGTTGATAGGCAGTGAAGTATCCAGGATTGTGTGATATGCCGGTTTATTGCAAAATATTTTTTTGAAAGTGTTTGATATAGTGTTATATTATCTGCAGACTATGTATTGAGGGGATTAAGAAATCTAATCCTGAACCCACCGATCCTGAATATCCTACTGTTAAATAATTAATATAAATACACTAATATATATATATATATATATATAATGCTTACTTTGTTTTAAGATTTTGCATTGCAACCTTATGAAATAAAAAGATAGATGGGCGCATTATTTAATATCTCAGAAGAAAACCTTAAACAAAGTAGAGTGCAAATGTAACAAATAGGCAAGATGAAGTAGCTAAAAATGTAGAAAAATCATTTGCGGTTCAAGTACATCTTAAATAAAGGCAAATGCTCGGAAGACAAATGTTTTTAAATGACAACAACTGCAGTAAACTTAATTGCAAGTTTTGTTGTCTGCGATACAAGCAACTTTAAGGCAACTAAGACACAGAAACTGCATTTGCGATTGTTGCATGCATTTTTCATGCTCTTCTGTGCATCATTGCAACTAAAATGCAAAAGGTTCTTGGCTCTTTGCGAAGTTCAAGGAACTTTAATGGTACAATCTTTAGTTAGTTGATTATAATTTTTTTTTTTCAACCATAAAACTTGTATATATGCAAGTACATATTTTTTTTCTACTTTATTTTAGTGCAGTCGTAAAAATTTATAATGGAACAGATACGTGTATCTACAAGTATGCATGTATGAATAAAGTGCTGTGCTGTGTGCATCTCGGCAAGATCATTTTCAAAATATTTTATGATAAAATCTGATTTCTTCAAACCCCATATCTTATTGGTTAGTATTTTCTTTTTAATCTTTATGGTTATCTTCTCGAGTTTATTACAGCACCCAGCAGTGGCTGCACTTTTGGTAACCCCGTGTGGCTTCTGTCACCAAACTCTCGCATTTTTAATTTATTTATTTTGTTTTTCGTTGTGTCTTTCAATGTCATTAACATTATTTGGCATGCTGTTCAGTCCCACAGTTGCATGTTTCACGTTATAAAAGTTGTATTTTCCGATTCTCATGCGGGTCTTTTGTAAATTTTTTATTTTTTTCATGGCTCATTCCATGTTGAACTGAGATGTTTTCTTCTTTTAATGTCTTGTCGTGATTTCAAAGTTTTTATACTTGCTTCCTGAAAAGTGCATCGCTGGTAGCGAAGTTATTTAATATGTTAAGAACTTATTTATAATTTATAGCCTATTATGATAATATACTTATAATTTATGCTTTTTAAGATGATTTTATGCTTTTATGTGGTTATTGGACACAAAAATCTAATGTAAGCAGAATTTTATGATCTATAAAATTTTATTTATAGGTGTGACATGTTAGGTAAATCTGAGCAAATATGATATCATAAATTTTAACACATGATTAAAATGTACTAAACTTAAATTAAAATTTTTTTTTTGCTAAATACTTTATATGCAACTATTTTATATAAAAAAAAGGTTCTTAAAACAATAATATGTAAATATGAAATGTTTTGTATTTATATATTATAGAATTAAGTAAATCGTGTAATGAAATATTAAAAGAATGGTAATAGTGAGAACATTTTTATATACAATAAACTTTTACCAAGTGATTTGATCCTTTAGCTGTCTCGGATACCATGGAATCCCAAGCAAGTATGATAAAATCAATTCATAAAAGTTTTTTGGATGTAAAAATGTTCTCACTATTACCATTCTTTTAATATTTCATTATACGATACTATAATTAATACTATAATATGAATCAGTGGCCCTTGGAAACAACTATATACTCGAAAAAGATTTCTTATTATAGAACCAAAATAATTTTTATTATATTTGGATATCACCAAATATCCATCATTAGTAGTCTTTGGTAACATCTATAAAGTCGAAACAGATATGTTAACATAACACAAAAAATTTTTTATCTTCAATTAAACTAATTTTATAAAATTAGTTTTTAAGATTCAGTGAAGATGAAATTAACTAAATTTTAATCTTAAATTTAGTTTTAGGTTACAAACTAGAGCTACATTTTAAAATTAATACAAACCGAATATGTATATCTGTAATTAAGTATACAATTTAATTATGTCCGTCTGTCAGTTATCAGTCTGATAATGAATTTGTCTTTCAATATGGCTATTTGTTTTTCATTTTAATATACAAGCTGGAGTCTGAATGATTCTCTTAATTGAACGAAATTTTGATCCCGGATTAGTTGTTCAAACAGGTGGACGACGTTATCACACACATTTTATAGTATATCATGTATGTAATATTATAATATCATAATACGTTTAGTTCAGGTAAAGATATTAGTTCTGAAAATAATATACATATTCAAATAATATCGGGAACAAAGTTTTACTTTTATTTCATATTAGTTATCAATTAAAAAATCAAAGATATAGTTATCAAACTCATATACAGTAGATATATGAGTTTCAGTTTGTCTCAAAAATATTTTTTTTAAGTATAATACTGATTATATACTTTATAAGTATAAACATATTTATAAAATGTAAATATAAACGCATTATAATATTTGAAGAATTTGACTACTAATTTCCACAATCATTTTGATCTGTTTCCTCAAGTTGTGCTGTATCAATATTATTCGACTCCAGTATATTTCTAGCTTTCAATATGGTCTCCTCAGCCGGCTTACGTTCACGTGTTAAAATCCAAGTAGTTGCTATTTTTTATATAAGTTTATAAGAAAATATTTATTATAGCCATTAATGAATACTTACGACTTTTAAATGTCACAAGTGTATTTTATTCTTATCATATATATATATGTAATATCTACTTACTGGAGTGAGTATCTGGTTTTGCTTCATAGCAAGAATATACGACAGTGTAAGTGTTGTAATCTGTATCTAATATCCAATAATTGCTGGTTGCATTACGACCAAAGGGAAATGTTACTTTCAGTTTAGCACCATCAGTGATTGTGGCATAACCACTTATAAGATTTATAATTCCGGTACTGACAATCAAGCAAATAAATATAATAGCATATGATAACAATTTAAAAATAAATATATATAGTTTTATACATACTATTTATTAATTTGAGTATTGATCACATTAACTTCACCATTATCATTAAGTGTATAATTTGCAGTTATACATTTACCGCCCAACTCAGCGAAGTATGGGAACTTAAATTGCTCAAACCAAATGCCAAGATACTATGTGAGAAATATAATTAAAAAAATATGTAAAATATTTTAGTAGAGTAAGAATATTAAAATTGAAGAAAAAATTCAGTTATAATTATTTATTTAAATTGATATTGTCTTACAAGGGCAGTTGCGTAAACAAGGAATGTTGTAGAGTACTATATCTAGGAAGTATTATAAGAACAGTAGCTATACATTGAAAGATATTATATTAGAATGTGGGCAGTTTAATTTTTATGGCACGTCAACGATAATATTTAGAGTTTAAATACTTTCAGTTCTTCTCAATAGCTAAGGAAGCGAAAAAATATTGTTTTGAGTAAACGAAATTCAAAACAAATTTGATACATTAATTAATAGGTATCGAATACCTTATGGGCGATTTTGACCAACCATAATTTCGAACAACGATCTGAGGTCTTAATTAAACGTGCTCAATATTTACATTAAATTATGTTAAGTGTCCTAGAGTCCCTATGTTCCACTGGGAGATAAGAATAAGCGAGAGAGAGAGAGATGTTACGTGTCCTAATTGTATGTGTAATAAGCATTGTTCTCGATTGGCAAAGTGGCAAGCCCGGTATGTTTGCTGGCAATTGGGTGAGTTTTTAACTACACTCCACCACACTAGGACAGCAAACAAAAAAAAATTATATCAAAAATAAAAAGGATGTAAGAAAAATAAGAAAAAACTAAAAAATAAAATAAAAACAAAACGATAATTGAAACTGTCTTCAACTCTCGTCTATCACTTTTTATGGTCCTCTTTATTGTGTTTTTTTTCTTCCATGTTCTTGGCTTGGGTCTGTCACTCTCGCTATATTACCATTATTAAGCCACAATATAAGTACCTATAAAATTATTTTCAGCTTCTTTAGCAAAGTAATCCGTCTTGTCCAGTTTTTAATTAATTTTGATATTAACCTAGCACTGTCTCTTTTTCCAAATTCAGTTGTCACGTACGTTTATACAAATTAAGTCCTCAGTCGTAATAAACATTGAGGCGAAACTTTGGGTGAATTGGTTATGCATTAAGAATACAGTAAAAATAAATATTTTTAACTATAAGGTATGAGAAATGGAACATGCTACAAAACTACATGATAGCTTCTTCCTAAGCAGAAGTGAACGTAATATCTTCAATGACTAACAGATGACTAAATGACTAAAATATACATACTATATATTCATAATATATAGAATATATATATACACATATAAATATTATATATACATAATATATAGAATATAGAGGTATATATACATATATGGTGGAAAGAATATAGTATTTTTATATTCTTATGCGGAGTTCATGCTCAATATGGAAGCAGTTCAAAATATTTAATGCTGGCTTTAATGTTATAGTAATATCTATTGGTCTTAATAGAAGTCCAAGTTAAGGCCGTAAAAAGTTATGATCGTTCACCGTTTTTGTTTTTTGAAACTAATATTCCATATAATTAACACTAATACTTACTTACTTACTATATAGGACTTACTTGTTTTAAATCGAAGTTTTTCATAACTTGTATATTAGTGGGACAAGCGCCCTTTCCACTAATTTGAGCGTTACCGTAACCAATTTGGGTTATGGCAAAAAGCAAAATAAAAATTTTTATACTAAAAAAAAAACAAAAATGTATTTACATATAAGAAATGCTAAAAATTTCTTTAAAAAATTAAAGACTTACTTTATTTTGAACATATTGAGAATAACTGCGGAATTGTGTTGTGCGATTGAAAGACTGCATTTAGTGCAGAAATGCATTCTCTTTTAAGAGCTTTTAAATATTTTCTACACTGAACATTTCACTATCTTTGTTATTTCACATATCTTACCTTGTATTTGATACAAGTTCAGATATTGCAACTCACAAGTGTATGTCAAAGTAAAAACATTTCTCATACTTTTTATCAGTCCAAGGAAATTTATAGATAATTTGTTTATCATTTGTTTGTATATCGAATATTATTGTTTTGTTGTAAACATTAAATTTCTAATTGATAAGACAAAAGTTAAAGCTCTCCAGAAATTGTTTAATTATGGAGAAATATTTTGAAGCCCGCAACCCAAGTAATTAATATAAATTTTTACATTATTAAAATTATTGCAGCAGAAAAAAAAATTTTATAATTATAAAGCAGTTATTGTCATTTGTCACACTTAAGAATATTTTTTATGATATCTACTGGTCCACAAAAAAAATTATTAGTTTGAAAAATGAATGAAATTTATTAAATAATTAAATATTTTTTTAAAATTTTTTTTTATAGAAGAAGCACTCGTAGAGTCTGATGTTGATGCACCGCCTCCATCTACAAAGCCTGCGATCGAACCAACAGTACGAATAAAATGCCTCTCAGGTGCAATGCTGATCACAATCAAAGATGCGCCACCAAGTCATGAGAGTGGCCTATTTAATGGCATGGTCTATCCGAAAGGCTTGTCGAAGAATTCCACATGCCTAACAGAATACAGGTGAGTTACAATTTATTTTTGATTTTGTTGTTTTTTTTCTATTATTTTTGGATTCAATAAAAATTGCAACTATGAAATAAACATTTTTAAGGCAATTTGCTATTGAAATTTATGTTGACACCCACGAAAATTTATTACCCATAATTGCTGATTTACAGATATGAGTTTATAATTTTGTTATTTTTTCATATCTTTCATTGCAGAGATCACGAGGGGCCTTTGAGGTATAAATTACCATTGCGTAGTTGCAACACAATGCCACAAGAAACGGTAAGTTGTCATGTTCTTTGTCTATATATATATATATTTTTTTTTTTTGTAAAGAAAAGGAATAAAATTGTTAGAATTTGTAAAATTTGTTGAAAATAAGTTTTCTTTATCGATGGCCTGATCAAACTCAGCTATTGTTTAAATTAGGGTTAATGATCCTCTTAGTTATATAGTGACCTGAAGAAATTTACTTTTTTCAAATTTGTTCTGAACACGAGATATTCGTATCGTTTTGCAAGGAGCATAGAAATTTGGGATCGGAAATATAAGAGCATAATAATTAATTCTAAGAAGCCGACTATTACTGATTTTAGTATGTATATGCAATATAATGGTCTTAAATCAATGTTATATATTGAATCGTATGATCTTATTCATAAAAAATACACCAAAAACAAAAAATTAAGCCTTCGATATGCCCATATGAATATTTGGTAAAGTTACATTTAGTTGACTACATAATACACACAAGGTTTGTAAAAAACTTAAAAAAAGAAAATACTTAGAAAATACAAAGCCCTAAAGAGAAACTTTCTGTATTATCCCATCTTCCTGGGAGCAGCATGATATCACCCTCATAAAAATTTTGTTCTTTGTTTGCATAAAACTGATTCAGATGATTTTTGAAACCCTTGTCTGAAAAGCAAAGATTTTACCTTACAAATATTTTGTAGAGACCGGAATAATTAGTTAGCAGTAGGTTAGTTAGTAGCAGATCTAGAGTATGGAGGATATATTCTATAGAAACCATAATAGTTACTTAACTTGTGTGGCATCTGTCATTATCTTGATGGAATCACTTTTATTGTTCAATTCTGACCTCTTCTATTTAGATGCATTTTAGTTAGCAGTAGGTAGCAGATCTAGAGTATGGAGGATATATTCTATACAAACCATAATAGTTACCAAACTTATGTGAGATCTGTCATTATCTTGATGGAATATTTCACTTTTATTGTTCAATTCTGACCACTTCTGTTTAGATGAATTTTTTAATTGATCGAGCTGATGATCTTCAAAGATCTTTAGTTTGACAATATTACTATCACAACCAGTTCTATTTTAGTTGAGTCATGAATTTTAGTATTGTTTCATTTCAATAATAAAAAATCCATACATAAGTATTTATGCCTTCTTTGAAAGCCTTAAATTTGGCACATCTATATGAAATAAAAACTAAAGGAAATAATTTTCAAATGATTCATGTAATTAAAATGCTTCACCTCAATGACAACTGTAGCCATAAGGCCGGACATACCTACGAATGGAAACGGTTAGAACAGGTATTATTGACGTGTCTATACTCTTAATGAAATAGTTTATTTAGACCTAATTACTATATAGTAACTTGGTATTATATTATTATTGGTATAATTGGTATTTGGTATTATATTATAATGTAGAAGCATTCTTTTTGAGTGCTTCTTTGAAAAGCTTAAAAAGAAAAATTATTCTATATGAGTATAGTGGTTTACATTAGGCGTAATTTTTTCTTTCAGACTAGCAAAAAAATACTCGCAACTTAAGAAAGAAAACATGTAAAGCAACAACAATGCTCTTAAAATCTTCAGAGTTAGGTTTTATTTTTATGTCTTAAGTTTTAGTGCAACCAAATTCAAAAATCTGTCTATTGTAAATGAGTATTTAAATATGTTGCAATTATCTACTCATCCCTTAAAATGAGATTAACAAAAATAATAACAAATTGCAATATATCAAAACAATAAGATAAAAACTGCTTTCCATTGCTCTTTTATTATTCATTTTGTTTTCCATTATTTATATTAACTAATATTTAATTTTAATAATATTTATGTTTCATAAATATTACAACACAACAAAAGGCATATGTCAAAAATAAGGATTTAACATATTTTAAAAGTGATGCCAATTTGTTTCAACCAAAGTTAATGCTGTTTTTTATAACTCTGAAAGGAAAAATTACGGCTATTGTTAGTTGTTGTTGGTATCATTTTTGTCTTGAGATTAAAAGATTAAGTTACGAAAATGTGACAAATATTATTATTACCAATATTTTGGAAATTAATATTGAACAAACTTCACTGGTCTTGGTAATGGTTCTTTACAGCAGGACTTTAAATAATATGTATAGTGTAATACTTAGATATTTCGCTTATTTATGTTGTACTTTTAATTAGTATAGTATATAGTGTATTTAGTATATAGTCGAATTGACCATTTATTTGTTTAGAGTATTATACCATCAATCTTAATCATTATCGTTAATCGTTTAATATAAGAATGAAACAGTAGTATAAGCGTTTTTAAGGAAATAATCTTATATGCATAAAAGAGAGAAGAGATCCAAATATTCTTCCCTGTGGCACTTTAACAGTGATCGTTTTTAATGTTTTTTATTTTTTTTTATTTGAGATATATTCATTACTTTGGAACCTACTTAATTTCATATATTTAAAAATAAATGTATATATATACATATTATAATCTCTGTTTTTTCTTAATTCGTATTTAATTATTTTATAATTATATACATAATATATAATTATAATTATAATTTATAATTGTAATTAATAAAATTTTTTTATATAATAGAATAATTTATATTTATCATATTTATCAATATTATAACGCATAGTATTATGTTTTTAAGATGTTTAATTATAATATGGTTTATTAAGTATAAATATAAATTTATAGAATAAAGATACAGTTTAAATAAAAATTTTTAATGCATCATTTTTCCTATTTTATTTTATTTTATTTTATTGTATTTTATTTTTATTGTATTTTAATTTATTTTAGTTCTTTTTATTTTAATTTATTTCATTTTATTTTATTTTCTTTTATTTTATTTTTTAATTAATTTTATATTATTTTACTTATTTTATTTTATTTAATATTATTTTAATTTTTTTTTTAATATTTAGTTTTACTTTTTAATTTATGCAAATGGAAATAACCTTTAAACTTAATTAAAATATTTCAAAAAATGTATATAAGCGCGTCCTTAAGTGTGTAATTAGTATAAAGTTAAATAGTTGCAATAAATTTTTTTTAAATTAAAATTTATATAAAATATTTGAAATATTTTTATGTGTTTAATGAATATTTTTGTTGTAGAATATTAGTTTCGTTCCGCCCATTGCTTATTTATAAAAGCGATTGTGGTTGGTTTGATATGAAGATGTCTTGCCATTTATTAATGCAAATTCTTCGACATTTAAAAGCAAACTTGACTAATTAATTAGTTAAACCTTATGAGTTTGATATTTTAATAATTGAATAAGCACTGTTTAAAAGCATTGAATCCGTGCTAAAATTATTTGTTACAAGGTAAAAACTTAAAAATGTGAAGATGATTAAGCAATATAAACCACAAGCAAACAAGTTCATTCGGTAAAATTTAGAAATATTTCAGATAATAATAAATTGCATAGCACAGATGTTATCATTGGAAACAAAAATGCTCATTTTTAGTTTGAAGTTTATTGTATATAATAGTTAATCTACAGAATTTTTTAAAATTTTTGTTTTGATTTATTGCATAGTCAATATTTTCATTTCAAAAAAATTAAATTATAAATTTTAACATTTTTAAAAATTAATAATATCTGACGTGACCTCATTTTGAAACAATGAGATAAATATTTAACAGATGTCGGAAATATTTTCCTTGGCATTTTTATTAATTTCTTCTAATATCAATATTTTAAATATCTCAAGCTTTTATTATATTTTCTACTTCTTATTTTCATATTCGTTAAATTAGAGTATCTTAAAGAGTTTTTAGCAGCAAGCTTGGTTTCAGTATTAGCATAAATTTTCATAATTTTTTAAGATTGATAACAAAGTCAGAGAAAAAAAAAATAATAACTTTCTGCAGCTAATACTAAATGAATGAAGAAATAATAAAAATATATATAAAAAAATATTTATATGATTTCGGAAATCATCGACACAGTGTGAGATTTTAACCCTCTAAAACCAACTATTAGAAATGGATAAAAAAAATTTTCACCACTCTTCCAGAGAGCAATGAGTGAAACTTCATTTCAGTAATTAGGGCTGATGTCTTTTTAGGCTTCAAAGAAGACCTCACACTTCACTTAGTATCATCGAGTGAAGTAACAACTGTATCATCGAGTGAAGTTACAAGTGGGTCTAAGTGATTGTTTCGCCTTTGTTGCTTTTTTATAGAGCAAACTCTGACTTCTTTGAGCTCAGTCAAAATCTTAATATATTCATGCATATTCCTGACTCTTACAAACCACGATGCGTTAAGTACTAATTTTAAAGTTATCATTGGATACCTTTATAATATTTCAAGATTTGTGCTTTGCCCCATAATTGTATTCCATTGGTTTACTTTTATTTCAATGTAGTCTTGCAAGTAAATACTTTGTTTTCAAGAAGCTGAGATGAAAGCTAAGTAAGATATTCGCAATTAGTCCGTTATTAGTCCTTGATTGCTTAAGATATTTTGTTGCTATCCAGTGGCTTTATTCTTTCTTTTTTATTGCATGTGGATAAAGGCTACCCAGAAAATTTGATAACATGTTATTACGGATAATAAAAATGAAAGATGTTTCCAAAGATCTCTGATTAGATCCGAACAGTATCCGAAATAGTTGCGTGGTTAGCATCAGAACTCATTTGTTTAAGAATGAAACATTTTTGTTTAGTTTTGAATGTTTTCACATTATTACTATTATCACTATTGTCTACTTTCCATAGTATGACATGGTGCCTAAATTATTCTTTTAAATCTGACTCTATTTGGTACCTCTCTGTAGGTGTCGTTCCATGTATATCGTGCTTCAGTTGGCTCACTTACGACCGTTCTTCTATACGTTTTCGCTGGCGCAAAAGGTTTTCTGCTACCTTATGAATTCTATGTCCATGCTTTTCTTGCTATTTAATCTCTCGGTTGTCTAAGCATATGACCTATCCATTTCCATTTTCTCATTTTTATTTCATTTATTTAAGTAAATTGCAGTCTGCTCTGCCTATTGTGAATG